GTTGGGGGTTGTAAGGGCTGGATGGGGTGGGCAGGGCTGGGCAGGTTGAAGGGTGTGTACAGAATAGCTGAGTGGGCGTTGCAGTTGTGCGGCCTGTCCCGAGCCAAAGCCGGGGGGACGGCCGACGGGGATGCGTGCCGCCGGAGCCCACGGCCTGCCCTGCAAACACCGCCCACACACGCCCCACGCGAGCCCCGTCACACGCACACCCAACCAACATGACATGCATGCGCCCCACCCCCCCCCCCCGGCTCGCGCGTGACCCATACGATCAGCTGACCGCCGTGAAGCTGAAGGTGGCTGCCAGCAGGGGCGCGCGCGTCTACATCAACGGCGTGCTGCAGCAAGACTTCCTGGCCGCCGACGGCAGCTTCTCCTACTGGACCAACACCACAGACCTGAAGCCCGGGACGCTGGTGGCGGGGCAGAACATCATCGCTGTCCAGGCAAGCCCGCGCCGCGCCGGCCCCCGGGGCGCGTGCGGTGCTGCGGCGCCCGCAGTCTTATACCAAATGCTGCGGATCGCCGGGGCTGCGGCCGAAGCTTCCGCCCCTGCACCCTCTGCGTACCCCTGCCGCAGGTGTCCAACACCCAGGGGTCTTCCAGCGCGGGCTTTGACTTGGACCTGATCTACTCTGCGACGGCGCCGTTCGCGGCCAACAAAGTGGTGCGCGGCAAGCTGGGCCCGAAGGGACACCGCGGGCCGTGCCTCGCCGAGCCCGCCCAAAGTCCAATGAGCCCTAGGCCGCGCGCGCCGCTCTGTGCATTCGACTCAGAAGCGCACCTGCTCACCCAGCCTCTGCTTTTGCACCTCAACCAAACCTTGAGAGTCCCCTGCGCCCCAACTCCCAACTCCAAGTCGATGCCCCCTCCTCTGGCCGTGCGCCGCCGAGCTTTCCCGATGCACACATGCATGCAGCCCTTTGCCTCCCACGCCCCGCCCGCCTCCCACGCCCTGCCTTGCCCGATTATTAAATGCTGCCTCTCCCCACTGCACCCATGCAGGGCTGCAAGACATACTCCCTGTTCTCTCACCTGGAGGCCGTGCCCCCCGCGGCCAAGCGCGCCAGCAAGCCAACCTGGAAATACTTTGGCGGCGGCAAGGCCAGCCCCAAGGGCCCCTGGACCAAGGACACATTTGATGACTCAACGTGGTCCCAGGGCCAGCCGCCGCTGGGCTTCGGGGCCGCGGTCGGGTTCAACTACACGACGGCGATCGCTGACAACTCGGCCGCGGCGACGAAGGGGCGGCTGTCGTACTACTTTAGGTACAAGCTCTGCCTGAGCGCGGACGTCTTGGCCAAGGTGCGCCGCTCGATTGTCGGCCGGCAGCAACCGCGACAGCGACCGAGCAGCGTGGCCATTTGCTCGCACGGGCTGGCGTTGCGCCTCTTATGGAGGCAGCATCCTGATCTCCTCGGATCCACCAACGTCACCGGACGGGCGCCACGTCACCGCAGGCCCCTCAGCTCAGCTCACCCTGTGTCGTTGCTCTGTCCGAAACCACCCCTGGGTCCCAAACGAACCGCGCTTCTCCTCCCCAAATCTGCAGATCGGCACGCCCCTACTGAATGTGCTGTCGAACGACGGGGCCAAGGTGTTCATCAACAAGGCCACAGTGTCCAACGACATCTCAGGGGACCACGTCGCAAAGTGAGCGGCGCGCCGGCGCACCCTTGCAGCCTTTACCTGACACAGAGCCTGTGTCTGTCTGTCCCGGCGCGGCGCTCCGCGGCACAGCAACACACTGCGCAACGCGCGGTGCCGGCCCCGCTTCGTACGGCGTCCCGCCGCCCCCCACGCTTGCTGCTGGCACTCATTTGGGTTTCTGTTGAGGGTGGCTTGAGCTGTCAATTTGCCAAACCCGCTTGGAAGGGATGATCTCACCACTCCTCACAAAACAGTACCTCCTGGCCTCTCTCTCTCTCTCTCTCTCTCTCTCTCTCTCTCTCTCTCTGGCAGGTACTGGAACACCAATAAGCTGCTCACAAAGAAGAAGCTGCTGGTTGCAGGGACAAATACGATCGCCGTGCAGGTGCGTAGTGCGTGTGTATGTGTGCGTGCATGCATGCGTGCGTGCGGGTGTGTGCCTTGTGTGTGTGTGTGTGTGTGTGTGTGTGTGTGTGTGTGTGTGTGTGTGTGTGTGTGTGTGTGTGTGTGTGT